ACGAAAAAGACTTATTACACGTTATCGCGTAACCGTGTCGGGGAATAAAAAAAAACATTGCTGAAAATAAAATAGTACGGATGTTTATAGCCGTTTTAAAAATGTACACCCGTTTCAGCCCGAAAAAAAAAATTACATTTATTTCGACCGATTTCCGCCGAAACGATTTCTGCACTTACCGTTCTAGCGTATTTTTTTATTATCAGGCATGGAAACGTAACGCCCAAAAACCTCTTCGAAAAATGCCTTAATTTAGAAAAAAATTCTGTAATAGTGATGCTGTTTGAGCGGATAAAATATTGAGATTATTTTGTTTAATACACGAATTTTCCGTGTAAAATATTATACAGGGTGTCCCAGAAAATAATGGCTTACTCTACGGAATGTAACTCTATATTATGTCGCCATGAGAATAGGTATTTTGAAAGTTTTTTTTAATGTCGAAACTTTGGTTTTTAACGGTTTTGTTTGTAAAATATCCGTAAAAAATAAAAATTAACTACATCGAAGAATATCTTGCAAAATTCTTTTATAAAATAAGGGGTAGTTACATTTTTTTCAAAAATATTCATTATTAACTAAGGAATCGTTATTATAGTGTGACACGTGATTTTGTAAGTACATTTGTTAGGGATTTCAATGGAATTAATTATTTTTTATTTAAGCATTAATTTAATGATCTCATCGGAAAAATACGACTAGTTTGATTGTAAAAAAAAAAAACAAAATATTACCCAAATACAGTTGGTTTTATTGAATTTTATTGTGATTAGCTACAAAAAAAATGGTTTGTACAAATATTCAACAACAATAAAAATAGTAATAATAACAATAAAATTCAATAAAAAACAACTAAATTTTGGTATTTCTTATGTTTTTTAACAATAAAATTAGTCGTAAGAGTTAACCAAAAATAACAGAGATAATGATGAGAGATGGTTCTTTTTGGAAAAAATCTAGCGACTCTTTATTATTGTGTAATAGAGTTCTACAAAAAAATTCTCTGGTGTGGTTTGTTTTTATTTTATATGGATATTTTACAAATAAAACAGGTAAAATCAAAGATTGACATTAAAAAAAAAAAAAATTCCGAAAAACCTACACTTTTAGCCACATAATATAGAGTACTATCCCGTATAGTTGGTCACAATTTTATGGAACACTCTGTAAAACGCACCAATGCGCTACGGGAAAATTTTAAGGGAATTTTCGCTGGCGTATAGACAAAAAGTGATTTGATATAAATCCGGATTCTCCAAAAATCCGAAAAATCCGGATTTCGGATCGCAGGCTTCGAAATTCAAATTTTTGATTTCACAGCGTAGTTAAAATCATAATAATATACTAATGTTTACTATGAGTTAAGCATATTACGGATTTACAATAGATGCCGGATTTCGCGGTTTATTGAACTTTGGCACATCCGGATTTTTCACATCACTATTGATAGACAAACGTAATAAAAGTGCATCGACGGGACGTTATCAAGAATAATATTATCGTTACGTGCGTGCGTACGAACGTACGTGCGTTGTTCAATATCGCGCGACACGTTTCAACGTATGTAATTCCCTTTACGACACTATGTGATTTCTTTTTCTTCTAGGAATGGGATCAGGGGCAGTGAGATGAAAAGCCACTCTACGTTATTATAAAATGTATTGTCCGCCTGAGGACGTGATTGTCCGCAAATTTGACAATAAAAAAAATCACGTCCTGAAGAAAATAAAATTAAAGACGACCGTCTGTTGACAGTTGACGCGACGTTCTATGGGAGTAGAACTTTTCTCCAATTGAATCCCTAAAAATAACTTTATTTTCGTAAAATAATCATTGTTACCCAAAGCGAATTTTCGAGAATATTATACTAATTAGGGTTTTGAGTATGAACTATTTTACTTGAAATTTTAACGTATGAAATATTGAAAAAAATACATTTTTTTTTTCTTTCTAAACATTTGTTTACAGATACGGTTATGGAATATATTATATTTTATAAAGTCATAATAATAATGACAATAGTGTTGGATTTACTTGGAATCTTAAATATTATATATATTATTCCAATCGACCTTACGCCAAAATAAACCAACAATTATAATGTAAAAAAATAAAACTGATCGAACTAATTGTTAAGACCAAACAAATCTACTGTTTTAAATTAAATCAAAATAAAATGTAAAATTTTTTACGGTAAAAAAATGAGAACCAAAAAAAAAAAAATTATTCGGTTAAGATACAGTAAAAGCGCTGTTTTATATAATGTATAATGAGTCCCTATGCTTTAAACTCGACCAAAGAGTCATTATAGTTAAAGTGTGACGTATATTTGTTGTTATATCACTGATGAGCGTGAGATAGACAAGTAAAACGGATTAATTCTAAAGAGTCTGTAGTTAGTTATAAAAGAAAGTGCATTTAAGATCTACAAATGTACATACAGAAACGAATGAACGAAACCGTATTCGGGATTCCAAAAATTAAATCCATTAAAAGAATGTCTGATGCACGGTTTTTGATAAGAAATATTGAATTTTTTTTTTTGTCGAAATTATTCCATTATTATGGTGTCGTCCGCTGGTTCCGTTCCCAACATAATATTATTATTCAATTACATTATTGTATTATTTTACCAGGTTTTTATCACACTGTTAAATATTTGTTAAGCCAACGCGGTATACGTGTAGAATAATCCCGTTACGACGAAAAACATGTTTAAAATAATCTCATTAAAATACCTCGGCGCGTAATAGTTGTTAACAAAGGGAACTAAACTCATGAAATTGTCAAAGTTTATGACAATATTAATTCATTCGTTGTACGCGTTTCATAATATTAATAGTGAGTTTGTATAGACTAAGCCAATAATATTAAACGCGATATAAAATTGCTCGTACCGAAAACGTCCACATATAACAACGGCGACGACGGTACACAAAATTTACTTAAAACAGTTCGAAAATACAATGGAATCTGTACGAGCATCCGATTTCCAGTAAAAAAAAATAAAAAATTATACATATATTTGCATCCGTATAACTGTAACTGTCGAACACAAACCCGTGGTTCGTTTGGTTTTTAGGTCTACATCAAAATCCATTTGGTAAAAAAAAAAAAAAAAAAAAGGAAATTGCGTATTATTTCAAATAATGACATTATAATCCGGATTGTTTGAATGCGTGGAAAACTCGGCAAACACCCGAATCACAAACGTTTTTAACGTTTCGTCGGGAATAATACTATCGGCACTTCGCTCGTCCATACTTCATATGATGTTTTACGAATTTTTAAAACGAAAATAAACTACAGGCCACATTTTGTGATCGTATTGTGTTATCATTCGCGCGTAAACAAATTAAATGATACGCAACCGAAATATTAGCATAATTTTTAATACAATACGGGACGGTCTAGATAATAATAAAAAGCGCGTGAAGCGAATTTAAACGGCAAAGGGGGATCTCGTCGATTTCTCCAGTTTTGTAAAATCCAATCGCCCCCACGTTTGTTAGACAGGAATACGATTGCCAAAGGCCATTGCCGTCGATACCATTGTTCGGACCGTTTTCGGCCGTTTTCCGATTGAGAACGTTCGGCTTTTTATAATTCCGCGCAACGTCGCCCCGAATATTTAATGAACCGATAATTCGACCGATCGAAAATGTATGTGTCTTGTATCGTAATCGAGTTTAACGATTACCCCCGTTGTCGTTTGACACGGCACATGACCGAATCCGTCAATAATGATAACCCGTATAAATACTACGATAACGAATAGTTCGCGACGACGAATAATCAAAATATACCGCATCGGTGCATTACTCAGTACGCGGTCTCCCGTATTACCGCGTTTAACGTGCGAAATACGTTAATACACAAATAAAATGGAAAATAACCGAGACTCGTGTTCTCTGAACGCGGTGGAAATTGAATCCTATTAAACTCCCACAAATGCCGTTTTATTATAAACTCTGCGCGGGTTTTTTTTTCATAATTTATTCGCGAGTTTTGACTTGAATATAGCTTGGAAACGTTGTACATGATTTCGTTCTCAATAGTACTGGTTTTTTTTTTTTTTTTTTTCGGGCCGGCGACTATGTAATTGTTCCATTTCGAGCGTTCTCAATCGTACGCCAAAAAAAAGGCCGAACGTTCTCAATTGTATTGTAGCCGTTTATAAGCATTGGCGTTCCCGTAATAAGGCTTCCCAAACTTTTTCGATTAATGGCTTCCTTTTTGGACCGAGGTTTTCTCAAGGCACCCGGGCGTCCTTAGAATTCATTGCGAAAAAATCGCCCGATATAATTTATTACCATTGCCCGTTCGCCCCACTTTTTTTTCGATAAAACCGTAATATTTATACAAAATGTATTTATTTCACTAGTTACCCGTTTCTGGAGATTTGAAATAGCCTTTTTTTTTTTTTTTCATTTTTAATATTTTATGGTGGTAATTTCCGTTTGATTGATATTGCCCTATAAATAGTTTACGGTGCAACCCAAACGGCTCCTATCCATTTTTTGTTTTTTTTTTTTTTTTTCGAAACGGTTCCCGTTTTACAAAAAAATATCAATTCCCATGGTTTCGGTGAATTGCGGCCAGGGTTTATGAGACAGATATACGAGTTGTATCCGCATAATAATTACTATTTCATATCAGCGTTATCCAGAAGAGAGCTTCTCTTTCACATATTTTCTTTATTTTTTATTTATTACATCTGAAATGTACACCAGTCTCAGATTAAATTTCAAGTAAAACATCAATAAAGTTATAGATAATGTTAGTACGGTTAGTATAGAGCGACATGTTTAGTATTGTTTATTATCCGTTATAATAATTTGTATACAATTTTATATTATATAACATATTTTTAACCACATTTCTTTTGAGACAGTCTTAAGTCTGTATGAAATGGATAGGAATTTGTGCTGTCAAAAATGGGAGCCCATTGGGAATAGACGTATTTGTACAACGGGAGCCGTTTGGGAATCGACCTTTTTGGAAAACGGATGCCGGACGGGCTATAGCCATAGTATAAATCGTAAGGGAGCCGTAAGATGCTCCGGACGCGATACTCGAGTAATTACAATTGTGTATTCTCGACGAAAACTGACGAGGACACCACTGTGACTAAAACGAGTACTATTCGCCATTGCTACAGTGTTTGTCACACGAATAGTATCTAATATGCCTAAAAATACTAGCCGAGATTCGACGAGACTCGTATTCTGTGCGAGCTTACCGGAATAGACGTAGGACGCGGGAGTCTAAGGAGGACAAAGCCCCCGAAATATCCTATAACCATCTCAACAATTCCTAAAGGTATATTTCTATGTACCCTTTTTTTTTTTTTGTGAAAATATACTGAATAAGTACAGTTTAGCCAACTTGACCTCCCCCAATATTCTATGACTAAGTATACCGGTGAAATATGATAATACTACAATGGCCGTTTCGAACGTGTATTTTATTGTAGTATATCTGAGAAAGTCCGAATCAAAATATCGTGTACACGGGTACCTACCTAACCTAACCGATCTATTTACCGTATAATATTATCGTCGATATTATATTATAGTATTATATTACTACGCCGAAAACAGTACACAGTACACACTACACTGTCGTTGTATTATTTTTACGGTTGCGTATCCGCAATATATATTTATCGGAGACTTCAAAGCGCAAGTTCGAATTTGTATTTGTTACCAATTACGGGAACAATACAACCAAGTATTGACACATCGCTTTTTGAGCGTTTATATATGAGCGTGTTTTCTGCCATAGTCATAATAATACAATAAAATAGTCTCGCATCCATAAAACGTTTTACCGTACACAACGTATCACGATGTTTGCAATTGATATGATCTTTTTATTTATTTATTTATTTTTTTTTTTTTTAATAATACTACCTGCACGGTAATAGCACAACGGTTATTGAAATATTTTCTTTAAAAATAATTCCCAATAAAACGTACCATTATTTTTTTTCTCCAAATATACAACAGCTAGTGGGTAACACAAAATATATCATCCGGACGGGCTTTAATCGAAATTCGGTTTTCTTCCTTTTTTTTTTTCTGATAGTTTAAAAAAAATATATAACCCTCGCGGTGTACCCATTATGCCCAACGCAACTTATATATTATTAAACGGAACCACAGATTTTTAATAGCAGATAAGAACATCGAAAATTCCAGAGATTCAAAATTCCAACGGCTAACGACTAATACGATTTGTTTTACATCCCAACAATTGCGTGACATATAAAGTAGTAAAACGTTCGATTTTTCAACAAAATAATGTAAAATCGAATGATCATCGATCGTTATGTATGCAGTTTTTAATGATCGTATACCTTTAATTATTTAGTAGCGCAACTGGAGTAAACCTGTCAAAAAAAAAAAACTAAATTTTCGGTTTAAATAATCTTTCGACCATTTGCCTCCGTGTACACTGTGCCTTCGTGGACCATTTGGAAAAAATGAAGAAATTCGACGACAGCTATTTTTTGCGATAACAAATTTTATTGAAAATATTAATAAAACTCCGTAATAACATTCGATTTAAATGATCAGGTGTATCCAAACTGGTTCCGAAACATCCGAATTGGTACCCGGGTCATTACGAAGTATGTATCCGAATTGGTTTCCGAGTCGTCACGAAGTGTACATGGCGTCCTACACTGTTATCTTTATCTTAATAAGTTATCAGTAATAACTCTGTCAACATTCATTTTTTTTTTCCAATAGGGTTTTGCGAGAGGGGGACATGCATGTAGAGAAAAATCACATTTTTATTTTCGTCTCTCGATCACTGAACAAAACTTCTTATTTATTCATTTTTTAATAGTTCTAAAATAACTATTTTGTAAAATATATTATTCTAGAATTTATATATGAATCTATGTTACATTCAAATTTTTAGAACAATATTTTTTACAAAATGGCTGTTTTGAAAATTCTATAAAGTGATAAAATAAAGTAATGGAAATAAACATTTAAATGTTTTCTACGTATGTCTCCCTCGCACAAAGCCAGATTTTAAAAAAAATGCAATAAAAATTAATTTTGACAGAATTATTATCATAAGGATAACAACTGTAGGACTTCATGTATATCCGAATCAGTTCCTAGATTATTGTATTATAATACATTATAGGGTTAATAGCCATTTTTCTTCTCATTTTGTCTAGACTTAGGACTGTCTATGTTTTACGATTGATTATAATTAATTGTACAATCAATGCGGTCCATAATATAATTAATGTTCGGAAGTTATTGTAAAAAAATAATATTCAAATTAATACGGTAAAAAATACCCAAAATCGCAATAAATTATTTTATTTTCCAATCGAATGTGAAAATAACTCCACATTTCGGGAAAATAATAACTCGGACATTGTCTTATCGAATAATATTTCCACCACTACTATCACAAATAAAAAGCCCGAAATAAAAATCAAACGTTATGGGTACAAGGCCTCATCTTCATTTTACTTCCAAGGTTAATTTGGAAATCAGTTCAAGTAAATAATAATGATAAGTATTAAAAATATACGTATAAATGAGGAAAAATCAACAAAATTGTAATTAAATCGAAAAAATGTCAAAAACTGAAAAAAAGTTGCGCTAAAAATATTTAGATTTTTAACTCGTATTTGCATGGAACGAATTTGAAACTTACTTAGAAATGAATCTGAACAATAAAAAAAAAGTTGCAAAATGCGACGACTATCAAGTCCTACATAATATTATAATCAATGATATTACGCAAATGCAAACTCTACACACGCTACAGTTATTGGTGTATTGCCGAGTGCAGTGAAGCGTACCGGCATTTTATTCCATTATAACGTACTCGTGCGCACGTACGTACCGATGGAAAATATCATATTAAAATAGAAAACAATAATTTAAATTTAAAATTTGGCTTTTTCGAAAATTTTTACCGGGAACCGGAATTCCGATGTCAAATTTTAGGTATGACGGGACCCGGTTCGGACGCAGCGGAAAATCGCATTTTATTAATAAACTTCAGAACACATCAAATGTGCTTGAAAAAAACCAATGACCGTTCGAATTCGGATGTTGAAAATACCCAGACCGAAACCAATCGCAAACCCAAACAAATGTCAAAACCTCGATCCGTACGCCCGTAGTTATTGTTTTATTTAAACAAACATTGCGTTGTAACGACGGCGACAACGACGACAAATTATAATTCAACGGGCGAAAATGTATAAATTACGGTACAGGCGAGGGGTTGGCGAGGATATCGCGCAGGACCTTTGTTTTATATTAGAACATAGCCGGTATTCGATTATTATGTACCGTACGTACACGGTCTACCCACTTCAATATAATTATGTATTTTAGGCCCGTCTGCGACGGTCCCGACGGTGAGTGTACACAGTGTATAATATCACTCTACATATATTTTAATAATATCGTGTAAATAATTCAACGACCGAGATGATTCTGTTCGGTAATCGTGACACTAATTTGATTGTAGAGGTACACCGTATAACGTATAATACTACAAAGGCGAATTCAATTAGCCGTTTCACAGCATAATCGTCTGATCATTATAATACAGCTCGTAGTCGTCGTCGTCTGCGAATAATCTCTTTGCCCCCATAGACACGGCGGTTTGTAATACGCTGTCACCGTCCCTCTAAAACGCGTTTGAACGCAGACGGATTCCGTCGGTTTCGGCTTATGCATTATTCAGCAAGCGAACTATATACAATTTCACGTAGGCGCCCGTCTAAATTATACGGCGCTATTGTTTACCGCGACGATCCGCCCAATTGTTATTAACACGTCCGAGGTTTTTAGCGAAATTGTTTTCGATCGCGTTCCGGTCGCGTTCTGTATCGCATCGTTTCAATGACCGTTGTCTTATCGCATTTTACCCTTACACCCGTACGCCGTGGACGCGTACGGACTTTTGTTTTTCGAATTTCGAAAAAATAATCCCGTACCCGTTCCCAACCGCATTCGAAAAGTGATATTTTTCCTAAACATTTAGATGCGCCTAACGCTGATAGGTAAACAAAATGGATTATTATAAAATACATTTTTTTTTTTTTTGAGGTTCTTCGTGTAGCGAGGACTGTATTGGTTTTACAACGATGTATATTTTTTTTTCAACGTGAACATTTTTTCTGCTAGAAAGCATACTCCAATTATCAAGTATAGCACCTTTTCTGAAAGGTAATGTTCTCTGAGTGGTATTTTAAAAACGTCATATTTTCAATTTTATATTGATATTTGAGATTGTGAGAAAAACCTGGTTCTTCAGATTAAAAAAAATTGGAAGATCAAAAATAAGAATGTAATTGGCAACCGTTTTTATTATTATTATTTTTTGTTATTATTAAGTTTTTATTATTTTAATATTTTTTAAATAACCGTTGTTGTTTCGGAAACGCACATTAGTGTAATCATTTTACTATAATATCACATATATATTGTTGACAAAGAAACACTATAAACAGAACTCCGCTCAGAATCGTCTTTTCCTTAGCAATGATTTATCGTTGCTTATAGATATTAAATAAATCCCCGTCTATTTTTTTTTTTTTTGACATTCACTATAATGTAATGGTATAAATGATTTATTTTTCCATATTTTTTCATTTTAATAATATTAAAAATAAAAAAGACGTCCTAGAATAATGGGGACGGGTGCAGGAACTGTGGTAGATAATTTAATGTATACCTGTAAGCAACGATAAACCATTGCTTACGGAAAAACGAAAAGGTTTTGCAGTTTTTTCGGTTTTTCGCATTTGAAAAGAAAAGCCTTGGGAAAATTGAAAATGATCTCGTTTAAAGTACCTCTCCACGCCGGTGTTTTTTTTCAGAAAAAGTACTCTACACGTAGAAATCCGAGAATGTCTTCTGGAAGAAAAATTGCGCACAGTTAAAAAAAAAATAAAAATAAAATTTTTTGTAAAACTATACTTAGAATCTAAAATAATTACAAAACCGGCCGGCCACGAGATTAACTTCTGTACATTATTATTATTATTATACGAAAATTGAATACATGTTTTTAAATACTACAAACATGACATAAACACGCACGAACGCCCGAAGGGGGCAAAGACTTGCACTTGGGGCACTTGCCCCTCCCGTGAACTTCAAATATAATTTTAAACATTTTAAGGTGGGTCACACACGGCACATAAGTTTTAATAAAACTTTAGACAAAATTTTCAACTTTAGTTTTACATAATAGTATATTTTTTTTAAATGTTTTGGATCGGGTAAGTATTTTGCAATTGTGCGCGTTTCCGATGGTAATATTATTCGTACAGTCGTATAAAATATATCCGTTAACTGAATGCATTAACTCAAAAAACCGCATACAAACCTCATTTTCAGTAAAACATAATACAGCAATGATTGGAATTGAAGAAATTCAAACAGTCGTAATAAAAAAAATCTATAATTTATACTATTTATTTAGAACTTTTACGATTCGTTACAAAAAAAATAAATGTATACATATTATATTACCTATGCCTGAATAATCGAAAAATAATTTTCTTTCAAAATATATTCATGGTTTTTTTTTTTAAAAATATTTAAATATTCCAAGTTTTCTTATTACGAGTTCAATATTTGTTTTGTGCAGAGTTTATGACAAAACGTGTACATGACATTTTTTTTTTCTCTTACTAAACATAATATTACGTATTTTTTGAAAGTTTAAACGATGCAGATACCTGTATAAAATAAAACAAAAAAAAAAAAAAAAAAAAAAAATATCATAAGAAAATACGTAAAATATTCGTATACCTATTTATTAAATTAAAAATTTGTTTGATTAAAATATTCTGCACGGGATCTCGTAAAATGTCAAATAAAAAAAAAAAAAATAATAATAATAATAATAAAGAAGCGTTGTTTGATCATTATACTCGTCAAACGGAGGTATTTATTTAGATCTTACAACGAGAGGGACCGTCTGCACACACTACGGTCCTTAATATTAATAATATATTAAATACCTACGCACCAGGTAGGTACTTTAATCACGTTCTCGAGTTAAAATAACGAAATTCTCGACTTTCAAATTAGATTGAAAATAATAAGATACGGTTTATTTGCCCGTTATAATATACATAAAAGGTCTGAGTAAACAGACATCAAAAAGTCATTTTATAATCACTCTGATACCGGTACGCTCGGTCAAATATCTTATAACATGTTATGGTACAAAAAACAACTCTAGCGAATACACGCGTAGTAATATACGTATAGAGGTGAATTGTTTTAAATGCGTTTTTTAGTCTTGAGATTACTTATAGTACCTGTAATATATATATACGTACGTATAGGAACAGAGTGATTGACATAACGTAAAAAAACTTGTTATCCTGAAAACTATTACGTTTTTTCGGAATTGGATTTTTGGAACATTGAAAAAATCGGCAGGTAGCTTAAAATGTTACATTTCCGTTATTTGTCGTCGTTTTTATTTCAGGGAGTGAAACCGCCACCAGCTTTTGATTTTCAAACGGTAACCTATATTGATAATTCCGTAAATATATGGGCGATTAGTTTCAATCGATTTCGGCGTTGAAATGTTTAATTTCCGTCTACCCGTCGACGAGTAATTCCGCTTTTGAGTTTGCGAATGTGCGGAACTTCAGGACATTATAGTTTTCAGTTGGGAAAACGGCAAACGAAAAATCTTCGTGAGATAAATGCTGTTATCGAAATGTCTCGTTAAAAAATGTCCAGAAAAACATTCAGTGTTATTACCATGCGGTCAGATACGGTTTAAAAATATAATATCACCTTAAAGTTTGTACGTTTTTTAGTTTTCTTTTACGCGGTTGGTTCGAAAACAAATGAGCAGCAGAGCTTCGTTTTTTAAGTCGAATTTCACCCCAGCCGACTTATTGCCGTTAAAATGTTTCTTGTTTATTTTTTATTTTTTTTTAATCTTTTTTAAAAAATTAAAAACATTTAACGGTTTAACATTTAAATTATTTAAGCATTCGTCCTGCTTTTCAATAAACAAATTAAAAACAATACAAATTCTTGACTTTTTTTTTTATTGTGTGGTTCAAATATAATACTCGTGTACAATTCTATTTATGACCAACAATAATACAAAATTGATGAAATATCTTATATTATATAAAAATATAATTTTTGTTTATAGATGTTTAACAATGAGTAAAATCTCTCGAGTTCAATCCACCATTTTTCGTGTTTTTCTTTTGTTCGAAACTATGAGTACTTATAGCAGTACACAGAAGTTTTATTAACGGAGGAGGAAGAATTGTGCTTATACAATTTTGTAACTGATTTTCACGAAGGAAGAAATTTCGGGTGGGAGAATTGGGTTATGATTCCTGAACTTCACCCCTGTATACGCCACTGGCTACAATATTTATGTTGTGATAGTGCTAATAATCGACGTATCTATGATTACAAACATTTAATAATTAGGACAGAGGACTTGTAGCATTTGCATAATTGTTTAACACTATTAAAAAAAGGAATATGTCTTATGTTTAGTCAAGGCTGGATTTGTACCTAATTTTATTTTGCATATAATTGTACATTTTGAGTATTTCAGTGCACGTTGGGTGACTTTTTAGAGCTTCTTTTAACTCTACGAGTCCTTTGTCCCACTAATAATCAACTTATTCAATATAAAATAATATTTTGATTTTGTGTGTGTTAATAGTTAATATATGTTTAACCGTTGAAGTCAAACAAAATGATACGTAGTTTGATTTTAGAAATAGTCGACGAACAATTCAATTTTCCAACATTTTTATTATCGTACAAATTTTCTCTCCTCTAGTGTTTGTAGTGCCATCTAGCAGATCGTTTTAAGTACTAACGTTGCTGCGATACTGTTCAGCTAGAGCGCGCTTGCAATGTGAACATCGGTTTTAAAGTTCTTGAAAATAATAATAATATAATGAAGTTTTTTGGTTAGTTTCTTTCAGTTTGAAACAGGATTTATCGCACTAAACGAATTTTATTAATTTTGAGAAATTTGTGAAATTTAAATCATTCCTTCACTCTATCAAAATCACATCATCCGTACAGTAGATAATTAGTTGCATTTGGCGAAATCTAGAATTTTTGTTTGTATTAAGTCTTAAGTTTAACCGAATTAAATCTGAGATCGAAAAATAACTCGGGTTTTCAACTAAAACGAAAAATGTTTAGTAGTACTAAATTTAAATAATGATCAATATTATTAATACAATAATAACTATTCAATATGATTTCGATGATGTATAAAGTAGCATCAGAGACCTACTCATGCTGGGCGAAAAAATTAAATTTCATATCAAAAGGAATACAACGTATATGTTACAGATTCAAACACGATATCAACTCAAAGCTTCAAATTTTGATAATTTATCGTTCGATATTGTTGTTGATTTTCTGGTCATAAACTGACAATTTTGAAAAATACTCCCATCCAATAGTATTATAATAATATGATATTATTTAATGACGTTACTATTATGTAGCCTTTCGTGTTAGATTATAAAATTAGTTTTACTGTTTCAGCAAACTCGTATTGGGAGGGTGAGAGGCGGGAATTGCTCATTACCGCTGTCTTCAAAATCCTGGAAAATGTTTCGCATTTATATTTTTTAGAAAATTTAGATTTCGTAGAGCAATAGGATTTGCAGCAAGTTCGCGAGATATATTCTAACAATCATTACGTCCGTCATTAAACGAGTTTTGCTATTGGTTTTTAATGGTCTAGATTCTGAGCTAAGTAAAAAATATAATGATTTTACTATTGTGTGTGGTTTATTTTTACTGTTTACATTTTTTCTTTCAGAATTCTTGCATTAATATAAATATGCCAAGAGACATTGTAGCATTTCGGATAATTAAAGACGCGATTTTTGGATTTCGCAAACAAAAGAAATGTAGGAAATACGGATAAGTATTTAAGGCGTGGCATTTTCAAGAGAAATATTGTTTCGAATTTCAAGAACTGCACCTTTTATAAAAGAAAATGTTATCTTGTTTGTAAGTATGAAAGTACGATTTTCCTTGTGGTTTTCTTAATAATTGAGCAATACTGGGGAAAAATGTATAGAAATAACAGGAAAGTTTAACGAAATAACGATTTCATTATTTTATATTATTTTTATTTTTTTTTTTTTTTGTGGTTATTTCATGGGTACTATACAGATAAAAACCAACGGAAAAATATTTGAAAATCTATCACTAAGTTCATTAAAAATTTTACTCGTTAGTCAACAAATAAAAGTTAATTATCACATACCTAGTAGTTTTTTCTTTACGAAAATCGTGTAATTATAAAGACATAAATTAAATAACTTTGTGTTTCCTACATTCCCAATTTCTCTTCTATCACAGTGTGGCACACCTATCAATAGTATGGGTTATTTTTTTTGTTGTTTAATTTTGTGTGGAAATGTCAGAGTTATCTTGTACGTGCATAAGCAAGAAATAGGATCAATTTATGTTAAGCGATTAACGTATTTACATCATTACTACACACTTCAATTACAATAAAATACAGTATTTTTCCGTTACTACGAGGCGTGTCCAGAAAGTAAGTGTACTCAATTTTTGTAGGCTTCAAAAATGTTTTTTAAAAAAAAAAAAATAACGTGGTTACATTAATATATTTGTGTGCTATTTTTCTACATAGTCACAATTTCTTTCAATGCAGATTGTGAGACGGCAGATTAAATTTTTTATGCCTGCCTCTTAGAACTCTGGACACGCCTCGTATAATTATTTGTCTGTTAATTAAATCGATCTCGTTTACTTCGAAGTTTATACATGAATTTTTCAGCCAACGCTATTTATCGGCTTACTATTGGATTACCGTGAAATCACCAAAAATATTCTTTGTCGTTGACAGGTTCTGAATTATTTCTAGTTGCATGTGACCAGGTGCGTTTACAAAAAAAAAAAAGCTCGGGAGGAGGGAGAGGGGATTAGGGTTTTTAACTTTTATACTCTTATAACAGAGCAGTACATACTTTTAATTGTAGGATTATTTATTTTTCTTTAAAAATGTCAAAATTGTATAACAATTATTTTTAACCTTTTACTTTAATCTATCACTTAATTTTACATTTAATATTTTTTTAACGAATACAGTCTAAATGTAACGCGTTATTCATATTTTTGTGAGGATAAGGCGAACTATGCAAGATCGTCGTGTCAGTTATAATTTTCTAAAAGCTGAAAATGAGGAAAAACACGAAAATTAGAAATTACAATATTAACAATACATACCTACTATCTAGTGATAAAATAAAAATAAAACCAAAATTGTATTTATCTTCCTCACTGACAGAAACCAGTTTCAAGACTATTAAAATCTACTTTCATTGTAATTTTCATGAAATTTCGGGGGGGAGGTTGAACTTCTAACCTCCCCCCCCCCTTTTAAACTTACCTGCATGTAAATATTCGTGATTTTAGATTCTGAAAAGAACGGGAAATGTATCATACGTATTTACCACTTTATGTGCTATACTCATCCCTATTTCATTTTTGTCCATAAATCTCATTCGATCGGAAAACTTTTACAACGCTTCTATCGAAAATAATAGCCCAGTAGCTTTATTGTGGCTATACAATTTTGATTATCAAATTTCGAACCTAATCTTCTTTTTATTTAGTTTAAAAAAAAAAAAAAAATAATAATAATAATTAGGTAATAAAATCTACTTGTGTAATAAAACGATATAGGTAATAGTTATAAAAGAGAATAGAACATTTATATGATCTGCACAAAGGAAAAAACAAATTGTATAATATTTCAAATTTTCAAATCGGATTTGTACATAATTTTTTTGCGCAGCGACAATTTCGGGCAGTCCGTGACGTTTTTACGTGGATTAGAAAAAATATAGGATCTGAGAGTCAACGGTTATTACGAACTTTCGATAAGTCCAGCTTGGTATTTGCAAAACATAAAAGAACGAGAACGTACGTATTATTATTGCATACAGTGAAACTTACAGACTGCTCGAAACATACAATCAACATCCGGTCTTTAGATGGGTTTCCGGGTGTACGCTTGTGGTGGAATAAAACGCTCTTAGACGTATAGAAATCGTACGCGAAAGTACTTCCTATTTGAAAATCGAAAAACGTTCCCTCGAAACTAAAATAATAATTTTCACGTTGCCCTTTTGTCGTTTTCGCGGCTACGTCCTGCCGCACACCTACCCATAAGCTTTAAAACTTAAAACGGGCGTTGAATATTTTATGAAAATGTTTGAATTCAAATATCTAAAGTAAATGGGTTGGGGGGGGGGTTATTGACATTTCGATCGACTGAGTCCACTTTCTTATTGCATATGCATTGTATCATTACTGTATATTATACGAAAGCTGTTCAAAAAGTAATGACAAAAACGCTCTACAGAAAAAAAAATATTTATTCTGTCTTCCGAGACTATACAAATGCTTTTTTTCGAAGGTGAATCCCCTCGATTATAATACCGCTTTTGTCACTTTTTGTACGCAAACGCCGGACGATTTTTCTCTCGGGCTCATTGCAGCGTGCCTTGAAGACCTATTGATAGGCGTATTCAAATTATTTCCGCCCTAGCGGAATCTTTACTTTGGGAAACAGCTAGACGTCATATGGGACCGAATCTGGACAAAAACGGGGAACGGAGTACAGTTGCGATGCCGTGAGCATTAAAAAAATTCAGAACAGTGTAAGCGACGTGGGGCCGCACATTGTCGTGATACACTAAAGTGTGACCAAAAAAAAAAAAAAAATCACGCACATAGACTCCGCGTATAATTTATAAAATAAATTACGGTGTAAAATAATGCATTTAAAATGACAAGTGGACTCAAAGTTCCTGGTATAAAGTTTCTTTTTTTTGATCGTGTCAATTACATAACACACGAAAGTTTTGTTTCGAGTAAGTATAAGTTTTTCGTTGTCAAAGTTTCATATATAAGTATACCGTTCAGTATAAATCAGACCGAAAACTTAAGACGACAACTTTAAAGTGAACCGTATAGCGACTAGCCGCTCTGTTTGAAATGTAAATATTTAGTAATATATAAAAATCCAAACGGATTTACAAATCAAACAATCGCGTTCCACATTAATAATTCCAACGCGCATAATTATTTAAAATTGAAATGACCATTTTTAATTGATGGTGACACATCTTTCAACGGTGCAGAATTTAAATTAATTTACAGAGATAAATGATTTAATGAAGTCATAGACGAGTCGAACCGTCAAGATTTTTAATTTAATTTGCATAAAAATGGCCACGCTTTGCCGGTTGCACCTCGACGCTGTTTCATTTATTATACTTCAATATTATTTGTACTCTGGCCCAAAAACGGTTCAAGATTAAACAAATTTTACCTATTAAAATATAGGTAATCATGAGTCGTATAATAAATCATAACGGTTACAGTTCGATTTTCGGACTAACGTGCGAATTATATGAGAAATCATGGATTATAAGTATTTAGTGGGACATATGTTAACAATGTTTTCGCAACATGATATCTTAAAATATTTCCAAGAAAACATAAAACACATATGATTACAATATTTACAAGTTCTGAATGTTGTGTGGGGGGGAAATTGTACTATTTATCAGGCGAAAAAAAATGATAATTATTATACATTTCTCGTGCTTAACATTTATAAACAATAGACACGAATAATAATTGATTACACGTATAACACGTATGATGGCCGCGTTCCAGAGGGAAGGGGGAGGGGGAATCTGTCCATTTTTTTTAAGTACAAATGCCATAAAGATGATTCCGGATCTTGGAAATAATTTGATTAAAACAAGAACGGAGCACTTCTCATTTATAAATTTCAATAGATATTCTCAAGGGTGAGATAGAATAATGGAAAACTAATTGGGAAAAATTAATTTGCAAAGATATAATAAAATAATATATTTTAAGAATCAAAATTTAAAATGACTAATTTAATTTAAATTTTAGATTCTGAGTGCATCTATTGGATATGCAATGAAGTTTTTTTTTATACAATAAAACAAATGTCTACAAGAAATCTTGATTCAATATGTAAGTGTAGCCACTTTTTTGAAAGAAAAAATTGTCATATTGACTAGATTTTAAATAGTAATTTTTTAATTTTCCAAGCAGTTTTCATAATATCAAGAAAATCCAGAAAAAAAGTAAGAAAAATGGGAGAGTTTACGAAAATTATACTTTTAATATTTTCAATTTTGTTTTTTGTTGTAATTCAGTTAAAAATATTTGTAGAGACTTGAAACTAGGACAGAAAACTTATATTTGCCTTTTCTTGCTGTGGTAAAACTATTGAACAATTTATAGACATTTTAATTTTACGAGTTGTGTAAGTCATTTTTATTCGGTAGAATTTCCTCTGTGGATAAAATTGTTTTACCAAACTGTAATGCTTGAGAATTGTAATGCTATGAGGTACATTAAATGTTGTACTTTGTGGTAAAAAACAAAATTTTGTTTAGAAGCTAATTGGTTTATCACTTTTAATTATTCATTGTATAGAAAATATTGTTGATTAAACAGCTTTCAAAACGCTTCTTAAAATAAAAGTATTTTTGACTTGATCATCTTACATAATATGTATTAATTAATATATTATATTAATTAATATTATTATTATGATTGTTATTCATATTATTACTATATTAATTATTAATTATTTAATGTAAAAAAATACATTTAACTTTTAAATTGAACTGTTTTACTGTATTTATACAATATATATATATGCAGTCTTCTAAGCTAATAGAAGTTGAAATGACATCATTCATACAAATTGTAAGTTTTTGTTGACCAAAGCGGTGGTATTCAATTGTAAACATTTTTTCACCCCCCCTCCCCTATGTAACTGACCCGAATATGACCCTGAGCAATGCTTTAACAGAGTTTCGCTCAGAATCGTTTTTTGTAGACAATGCATAAATTTGCTTAGGTATACATTAAATTTCTTTCAATATCCTATCTTGACAACTTCTCATCTATAACAGTGGTCCACCTATCGTGCGAAGTATTTCCGTCTTTTTTTCTTATCAATCATTAATTAATTAAGCAATGAAAGTTTGGAATGGTTTAAAAGTTATTTGAATAACAGAAAACAAAAGGTTAATGTTTATTTATTTATCTCTTAATGGTTTTTTCAGCGACGAACGTGAAATTACCTACGGAGTCCCTCAAGGCAGCGTTTTAGGCCCAGTTCTTTTTATTCTGTACATTAATATATTATGCAATTTTAATATAGACGGTACGGTTGTTTCATACGCAGATGGTATGTGTCTACTTCTCTCTAATGATACCTGGGATAATGTTAAATTTATAGCAACTGTTGAAATTACACAAAATATTTTAGAGATTAACTGAACAAAAACTGACGCTAAACATAAATAAAAGTGTATTCGTAGTTTTCTCTATAATAAATATTTATGTACCTATGGGCTATAAATGATATTGTAAACACTTGTGTGATGCACATCATAAACTCTCAACCTCCTGTAATTGCTTAAACTATAATTAAAGAAACAAGAGTAAAATATTTAGGGTTAATTTTTGACTGGAATTAACATTGGAAAACACATGTTTCGGATATGGTTATGCGCTTAAGGTCTGTCATATTTAAAACGTATAAACTTAACAAAATATTATCCAGAGAAACTATGCGCACTGTTTATAATGCGTTGTACAAATTAATTTTTCAATGTGGCTTAATAGTCTGAGGAGGTTGTTCTGAAAATACATTAAGACAACTTATAACACAACAAAATCATGCTGCTAGGATATGATAAAATACAAATGTTTTAACAGGTTCATCAATTTCCAACTTTAAAGAGATCGGTGTATTACCGGTTAGGTTGCTGTATAGACAATTTGCTATCCTATATGTTTCTAAGAATAATAGTTTTTCACAAATTAATGAACGTAAAATTAAGGCCTATGATATTAAAGTTGAGTATACGAAAAAAATGTTTTCCAAACATTTTTTGGACTATTTAGGTCCATACAGTTTTGATGCAATGCCATTGTGTCTTAAAGAAAATATTATTTTTAATCTAAAAAAAAAATCAGGATACCTAAAAAATAAAAACTCAATTGTAAAATAGTTAATAAGCGAACTCTGAATTTAAGATATTTTTATTTTATTCTTGTTTTATATAAATGTAAATTAAATACGAATTTAATGCATTATGTAAATAACAAAATAACTCAATTATCCCGACATAAGTTTTGTTCAAGGTAAATTATTTAATTTTAATATGTTACCATAAAAATATTTTGTAATGTAATGTGTTAATTTGATTTAATAAAAAAAGAAAAATTAGTATTTAATTTAATTATTTCGCCCCCCTCCCCACCATAGTCAAGGTCTGAAGACGTCTCTGATATTTGATCGTAAAATTTGGTATACTGTGCTAAAAACTGAGTAGTCGTTATTTTTATAATATTTATTATGTCTTCTAAATTTTTCATTCGATTATTAAACTTTTGGAAATATTAATCTCCAATTCGATATTAAATATCGACTATAAATTATTAATATGCATTTTATATTCCTGGTACAGGTGCTATGAGTTATAAACGTAAAGAAAAATAAAAAATCGAAAATCGGACTCGCACTATGGATTTGAATTTTAAATTAACCGTGAAAAATTCGATAAAAAACAAAAAAACTTTCGATCAAATATAGAATTTACTACAAATAAACAATCCATCGGTTTTAAAATTTGAATAGTTTATTATAATATATCAAAATAAAACGCACCTATAAAATATTTGGAAGCAGTTACCAATGACGTACACGAAACGATTTTTTTCATAGACCGAGTTATAGTAATAAATTTGTAGCGATATTTTGCGTCATACATCTGTCATCGAATTTACACGTACCTACGTGGCATTCGGTATAACTGGCAAGGATTATACTATACATTTTTACGGACCGAATTAAACTACACAATATTCCGAATGGAATATTGAAAACACGTAAGTAAAATCAAAAGCGCGGGATATCAAGTTGTAAAATCCATATAGTAAGTAAACGCATAAATAAAAACAATAAAACTTATTTTATAAGATACTCTCCTCGGAAAAACGCAGTAAACGCCAAATTTCGATAAAAAAAGAAACGAATTGCCCAGTACAAAATAAGACTTTCT